AAAATATATCTGGTTCTTCAAAAGGCCATTTTAGAGGCAAATCTTTTGTCTACAATTTGGCTCATCAATACCAATAGCAACAATATACTACTAAGCATTTTTAAAAGGTTTTAATCAACATGTCACTAACTACATGTACATCGTAACAAAATTAGCACTGAGAATATTTTAAACATAACACAATTTAACAATTAAACAAGTTTTCCCAGACAATCAGAGAGCATTCTCATTGTACAAAGACATGTTCAGTACATTTCTTTCTAGTTAATAATCTTTCGAGTGACGAAATAAAGTCTGTTTAGTAAATGTCAATAAAGTTGATCAATCTATTCATATCATGATGATTAAAAGGTATTGAGATTTTCTTCATCATTTTAGGGTCAGAGGTGATCAAAGCTTGTCCAACCAGTGATAACAACTTTCTTGTTGTGTTGGATGAACAGGTAGACCATTGCATATAATATAATGGTAATATAATTATTAGTATTGTGCAGTTGCTGCATGCATTTTATTTTTGACAGCACATGTTAAGCCTATGGGATATATCATCACTGACAATGGTTGCCTTTTGGCATTTCCTTGCGGTTGATGACTTTCTTTTGGTCAGCACTAGTGATGTTAAAACCAACACAGCCAGGTAGGTTAATATTGATGGGTAAAAGTTGACCAATGTGAAGTGAATGAAAAAAATCCAACAACTTGATGAATACTCTTTGTACGAAACGTATCCCCAGTTGTCTCTCGTGCTGTTTTTCTTGTTTCCCATAAGGCTTCATGATCATGGGAAGTAAAAAGAGATGCCTTTGGCATGAGAGATTGGAGAGAACAGCTGAGGACGAGTCAGTCAATTACAGCTACCCCCTTCCCACCATACCAAAAGTAAAAAAGAAAATAGAAAAAAATACTAGGAAAAGAACACTAATAAGGGTATGTCACTTTGTTCATTATAGTTCTGAAGAGGAGCACAAGATTATTATTTTAACTAAACCAGCAAACTCTCAGGTACAGTACTAGTGATCATCATATGGCAAATCCCACAGAAGAAATCTTGTGATTTTTAGTTTCATTCATTTGAGAACTTTCATTTTGTGAAAGAAATATGCCAAATTRGGAAAATGAATTTTAATGCTTTTTGGGTTTTCCTAGTGGAATTTGAAATTTTGCCTGTCTTCTTCATCTAGGAAAAGCGTTTTCTTCAAGTGTACACCCTACCAACAATGAAACAGACTTACTCCTTACAGGTCTCCAACACATGCTTCCTTGCTCACATTACAAGCAATCAGGTCAGGGTTATTGACTATTATAAGAACAGCTATTAAACCAATGGGAAATTAGCCTACAGCAGCTGCTGCGAGAGAGTTCTTGCAAACTCTCTTGGAGCGACTACGAATGCCTGGCTACCAGGCTAATGGGAATCACGTAAGCTTACCTGATGGGCTACAAATGTCAGGCGCATTATTACCATGACTCTGATTCTCATTGTACTTTGCTGATTTCTCCCATGTAAAAAATAGGATAATTATGTTAGGAATTTATCAGCTTTTGAAGAAATCCATAGTACTGTAATAATGCATTAGAATATACTAGAGACATTTTTCCACTCACTTAATCAATTTGTTGACTTTTTTACAGGAAACCATCTATTTTACRGAGGCAGTGCAAAAGTAAGCCTAAATGTTCAAGTGGAAATATGCAGTACTTTTATGGGAAATGGTCATTTTTCAGCAAATGATATATCTCAGTCATTTTATTTACTGTGAGTCAAATGTTGGGTTTTAGATTTGATGATGATAATGAAGACGACACTGTGACACTGAGGATTAGATGTCTAACTGAAGCTTTGCCAGAAAATAGGTATAATGGTGTTATGACGCTTGGTGGATTGGCTGAGAGGCTGGCAAGATATCAAAAAGATAAATTGATAAATTATTGCTAATGAATGGTGACTTGTTGCTCCAACCTATAACTTGGTTTTTAGGATGTCAATGTCACTAAAATTAAAATGGAAGCATGAATAATGCAATCCTTTGCATCTTAAACTGCTTCTTCTATCTCCTTTTTTTGGGTGATAGTCAGGCTACAGTGTAGATCATTACACTGGAAATTAAGTTTGAATATAATGTCTGAACACAACCTTTTTTTGATTTGATTTGATTTTGATCTGTTGACTAGTCCTTTTTTTGAGTCTTACCATCTAGTGATAGATTGAATCCAATAAATTGTGTGTTAATTTATAAATTGAGGCATATTATTATATTTTTTTCTTAAAAGGTTTTACAGACTTTTACACAAACATCAGTTTGATGCTGCAGAGAAATTTGCCAAGCAATTCAAATTAGACACTGAGGTAATTTTTTTGAAAACTGTCACACTGTTACATATTGCATATTCCAATAGACTAGTCTAAGATCATCATAGTAATTTCATTTGCAACATAAGCATGATGGCCTATATATTGCCAGTAAAGACTGAGTCAAATTTTGGATCYACAGGYCAGCGTTCAAGTAGACTAAACTATCATGATGGTTCCTTATAGTCAAAAGACACAATACTGAGATGTATTGCTGATGTCTTTTACACCATAAATGGAATTGGCCATGATAGATGTAATGACAATACAAATATTTTATTCTTTTCCTTCAGATTCCGCATTTAAAACAATTTAATCCCAATGTAAAAAAACMTTTATAATCCTTCAAGTCAATCCAAATTGTGGCTTCAATCACATGACAGATAATGTGATGTGTGTTTTACACATATAGTCAACTCTCGCCTTACGGACAACCCCCTACAACGGGCACCTCGATTTTGCGGACAGTAAAAATATACTGAATCTCCGGCGAAAAATACAAAGAAATGACTGAAAGTAACTCTCGTTACTACTGAATCTCGCTACTGCGGACACTAAATTACGGTCCCAAGGGTGTCCGTAATAGCGAGATTTGACTGTAAATGTACAATGGAATTATTTATTTTATCCTTACTCAGCTTGTCTATAAAGTAAAAGCCAACACTCTACTGGATAAGGTTTCACAATGGAGCAGTAGCCAGGATCATGAAGACTTTGACTTTGAGGAACTGAAGCAATGCTTGTCTAAAATTCAGGTATCAGTTGTTGAAAATAATAGTAGTGTGGTGTGGCTGAACGGGGGAGCTGTATATTTTTCTATTCTACTTTGAAAAAAAAGCAGTGAGGACACAAAAAAATATGTAAGATGTAGAAAACCTGACCAAGACTGATGTGCATCATATGAACATCAGAGAAGTGAGCATTTCTCTGCTTCTCAAGGGCTCACATTTTTTCTGGCTTGCTTTTGTTACTTCCAAATATAAATGTCTTTGAGAGCCGAAGAAGTTATGAACTCTGATGAACATGAGCATTCTCAAGTTGGAGTTGCTCCAACCAAAAAGAGCACACTTTATATCAATGAAAACATTTTTGGTTTATTGTGCTTCAGATTGAGTTAAAAAGGTTCAAGATTCTGTTACTAACTATTTTTGTTTAAAATCATCCAATAGGAAGATGATTATGTGATCAACTGCTGTCTTCAAGCAGTGTTTCCTACAGTAGAAGAAACATACACTATACTTCAGTATGCAAGAGAGAGGGTAAGGTCTCTCATARTATGCTGGTAATACCATCATCGAGCAGGTTACCTCATGCACTGCTTAAATAATTTTACCGTTATTYTCATTGCAACTTATTTATAGGCATCAAAAAGAGATAAGTCATCTGGAATGATATGTCATCCTCATCTCCACAATGAGGTTTGTTAAACAGAAAAAAAGACTATTGTAATGCGCATTTTTGTACTTTAGATGCAGCTCTATAATGGTTCATTGTCCTGCATTGTTTTTGTTGCTTTTCTTTATAACCAGATCCTTGGTGTGCTAAATAAACTCGTCACTTTTGAAAATGCTTATGGAATTCAGCAGTTTAGGTCAGTGAATTGAATTTGGTAACATTCTAGACTAAAATTGAAAGGTTTCGACTTTAGATAATGAACATAACCTCTTCACTTATTATTTTACTTGCTCTACTGTCAATGGATGAATTTCATCCAGCCAGAAATGCTTTGACTTACTCTACATGTACTTTAAAGTACCCTTAATTAAGTGATTATTAAGCGTTACTAACTTTGTAAGAAGTAATGCAGCTGTAATTTTTCCAACAGTGGTTCAAGATGGCATAGTTTCCAGCATGCTGATCTTCTTGATGAAGTAAAGTCATGTTTTGGTCAGGGTGAAGTATCAAGTGCTGTCATTATTTGGAGAAGACATCAAGTGAGTTGAAATGTCATTAATGATGTAAAATGTAATCTTACTATTGTGAGTCATTTTGATAACGGCAATTATTGATAAACTTCCCATTACCAATTGTGCAGAGTTCATTTTSTAAAGACTTCAATGCAGARAAACTGGAATCACTTTTTGGGTCCATTGGGCAACACTTGCAGTCTTCYCTGATTGTTCCTTGGCTACGTGATCATCTTGTTCCATTTGTATGCAAAGTTCTCCCCGATGGTGTTGTAAGTATTGTTCCGTTTTGAATACCAGTCCTTGGTAATAGATTGACCTTACTTTCCTTAGTTTTTTCCATTTCTTTTGAAACTTTTTCTTTTTCGTCCTTACTTTTTCCTCTTTCTCTACCTCCCTTCCATCTGTCCGTTCTTTTAAGTTGATATGATATAAATGTTTGTTTATTTTTGATAGGATCTGTTGGCATCATGGCTGGATCAGAGGGCAAGGAAAATGGAGCTTTCAGAAAAAGTAAATTCCATCGCAAAAACATATACAACTACAACTATTCTTTTGCAGATAAGCATTTCCTTTTTCTCTTTTGGTTTCCTACTAAAAGAGTGGTGGAATTCCTCTTTGCTCGCTCAGTTGATACGGAAAGCCTGTCAATTGAGGAAGACATAGACTAGCTCAAAACGATGTCGTGACATCTTCATAGCATCAACAAGATGGATACCATGATTTCCTTTTTTTTTTCTTTATTGTAGAAAGGTTGGCCAGCTAACGCTCTTGAGTTGGTCAGGGTCCTGCCAGCTCCAACTTATGATTCGTCTGCCAAAAAAGATTCTAACACAACTTCAACAAAAGAGGTAATTAAATTTTTTTGGCAACTGAAGGCAGTGTCCACTTTAGTCAAGTTTCGTATGGGTCCTTGAAAATCTTGGAAAAATCATTGAATTTCACTGATGTTATTTTTAGTTTTCCAAGACTGGAAAGTCGTGGAATTTTGTCTAGGATCATGGAAAGTCATCGTACTATTTCCTTAGTAGATTTAAAACAAATTTAATATATGTAATGAAATATGTAGTTCTTATCGATTGAATGTTGCCAAAGTAACCTGAAGGTCATATAGTTACATACAGTAAAGTGCTGCCTTGCATTTATGAAGCAGTCATTTCTATATTTTGGTGAAACAGTCACAGGAAAAGTAATGGAATATGAGACATTCACAAGAGGTTGAACCATGTTAGTGGACTTTCCTTTGAAACCTTGTGCAATATAGTTATTAAGGACAGGCTTCATGAGAAATATATGATTGCCAAACGCCATCCAGCGTTGTTGACCAATTTGGAACATGGCTGGAACATCAAACATTTTTTTGTATAGCCAAACCCCTTCAAACACAAGACATCATTGAATGCTTGCAAAATAGTGGCCAAACTGTATTGCTTTTGTTCATAGAGTGGATTGGCACGTCTTGCTGAACTAGTTCACGGTCTGAGTGAGCTGCAAGAGCTGCATGAAAAGTACAGTTGTCGCATTGGTCTTGCTGAATACACTGAGGTGAGTTCAGTCGATCTGGATTCAAGTTTACAGTAACATTCTTGAGGTGGTAATTACGCCAACACGGCATGGTACGGTCTCGGCACGTTCTGTGTTCTGCTCTATTACATTCAGCAATTCCAAATACATGTAGATGCAATTACACCTACCAACAGTACACGTATATACACACTTAGCCTTTGTTCAAGAGAAGCGCATCTTATATCTATACAAATACGAACTAGTTTGATTTGTGAATCAGCAGCGATTCCCTCGCAATTTTTGCAAAATTTTGGGCTATCCGACATTTATGTTTATTTAAGACCGTGCAGGGCTGCCATGAATGCAGACACTTTGCAGCATATATGGTTAACATTGCTGAATATTGTATTCAGTTTCTGTTTAACCCAAGAAGAACATTGAAAAGCCTAAAGAGAGGAGGGACTCTAGTTGTTTGTTGTTGTTGTTTTTATTTTTTTGCCTTTTCTAGTCCTTTCTCTGTGTACAATTACATGTAAATTGAACATTAAAAACACTTGTCCTGATAGGAGACAACAAAGACTATCGTGTTTCGACTTCTTGATGGTGTCAAAGCTGCTGAGCTTCTCCCTCAAGCCATGAAGAAGTACATTGCACC